AAGATTTGCTACCTATGATAAAAGCTATCAGAAGTGATGATCACCGTTGAAACTATTGCTTCCCATTAAACTCCCTTAGACGTGTTCGTTTTCTTTTCAAGCAACGCTCTGTACTTGAAAATGTCAAAATTATATTTTTTCCTGTGTTTATTGGTGTTGTCATTTTCCTGATATGAGATGTGGTCAAAGGTGAGTGACGCATCATACTAGAAAAAATGGGTCTGGTAGTCAGCAATCGAAACAAACACTAGTGTCTATCAGTCCTTCCGACGATAAAAACTGCGGTTACTCACACTGAGGACAATTATCCTGGATGGGGGCAACAATCTCTTTGTTTTTTGTTTTTTTTCTTGTAAAAAAGCTTGTTTACTTCTGAATCTAAGTGTATGGAACGGGTCGATGGTTGATAGTCTCGGAATCTATCAGGGGATCATCTACTGTCTAACTGTGTCAACTATTTATCTCAATATTTATTTTTTACGGTCATTTCGAGAACAGATTTGAACTCGAATTTGATGTTTTTCGATTAAGGGGTTTTTCATTTTTTCCGTGGATCCGATGAGATACGACTCTGGAGTTTTGTTTGTTTTGGTTGCAAGTTTTTTGTTTATTTTGCAGTTTTGCAGGCATAAAAATCCTTACCAAACATTGATTTTTGTGAATAAAATGGTAATGAAAACATTGGAAACAACTTCATAGTTTAGTTAATTTGACAGTAAATATTGTGTCTGCGGTGACGACAACATTCGCGCGGGAACGCGAAAACTTTGTGCCATGCTCGTCAACAGCTTATCTATTGCTTTGAAAGAATTCGCGTTGCAGATGCATGGTTGCTGGGCAAAGGAAGCAGGAATTTAACACAGACTGTAGAATGTGTACACTTCCGCAAAACTTATCCAAACAAGTGAAATTATGCTGTAAATCGGAATTCTCGGGTTACCTTGAAATTTGGAGATGTCACTTGGACAGCTTCAGGTTATCGAATTCAACGATTGCGATACGCATGTCTACCTACAAAATCTGAGAGTTTTTTGATGAAGATATTCTGAAATATGTCAGAAAACGATGATTCATTCCAAACCAATGTAAACCAGGTCAAACTTCAATTTGAATACTCGGTGATAGCTGGACAACCAGGCGAGAATTTTGGCCAGACAATTTCGCATCTTAAGCAAACAGACATGTCGCCGTTATGACTGAAGGAATAAAGCAAGTATTCCTTATTCGTCAAGCGGCGTCATTATATAAACAGTACGACTTTGTACCAACCTGTGAAACTATAGATTATCACATAAGTATTGATAGCTTCATAGCTGGGGCTTGAGAGAAAAACGTAGTCATTAACTTTGCAGCTATACTCGAAAAATGTAGGTTTTTCACTGGCATAAGCTAAATAATAGAATGAGCGAAAAAAAGAGGAAATCTGACAAACCGGTTTTCAAAAAGTATTTGGTGGAATTATCTGACTTCAAGTTAAAACAGTAGTTTTCCAAAAGAAAAAAAAACATTTGAGAAGTTGACGTATGCTTTGGTTATTCCATAAAATTCTTGTTGATTGAGAATCTTCTATAAAATCTTAACACAGCATTTAAATTTTCAGTAGTGATAACAGAAAATTTCTAAAACTTTATATACGTACAGCCAAGGACCAAAGATGAAGCTTGTTCCAACGGGGATGGAGGAGGGGGGAGAGGAGGAGAGGGGAGAGCGAAAAGCCCTCAGAAAACTATTTGAGATGTTTTTCTTGAATTAGGCGTGCCTACGATCTCGAATTTTCGAAAAAAAATTCTTACCACAAAATTCTTTTTCACAATGTTTATTGAGTTTTTGAAAACTACGAAAAAACATCTTAGTTACGAGTAAAAAGAAGTTTCATGCATAATTTTATAAATTATTGCTAGTATGAATATTTTCAAGCCACACAATGTGTAGGAAGTCATTTGAAAAACATTGAGAGGCTTTCTAAAAAACAATTTGGGGGAAATGGTTGTATTCCAAGGATTTCTACTGACAGAGTCTAATTTGTTAAATCTCTTTGCAAAAAATTCGCAGTATCAGCAATTTGAAATATTTTGCGAACCTTCGTCGGCGTATAAAGTGCAAGGTTTGAGCAGTGCGAACGCTACGAATTTTTCATATGAAAATTTAAAGGCAGTATTTGCTCAATTCAATTACTTCGTCAGGTTTGAAGGACTCGAAAAGTAACGATTTTAGCTATACTGAAAGAAATTACATCCCTGTAGCTTAAGATTTACATTGTTTATTTGTTTGAACGAAAATTTTATCTCAAAATCTTTCAAAAATCGTAAATCTTTTCTGTCACAATGTAGTTTTATCTGGCATCAATTTTATCAAGAAGAAAAAATCATGAACTTTTCAGCGGTGCCGGTAAGCAGGCCAAAAAGCTAAGAACTGTGCAATAATATTCAAAACAGCCAGCAGCTTAAGTTTCACACCTTTTCTGTCTTAAGGACCAAAGTTTAAGCTAATCAGGCTTTTTTAGAAAGTCATGTTATTCGTGAAAATAGCACAAAACGAGGAAATCAACCAGGCATTTTTTTTAAATCGTAGCACTTCTTAAAAAAGTTTTAGGACAAATTTCGCTCCTTTGGAAAGAGGGAATGATGAAACTCGTACACTAACCATTTTGGAATATATTGCATCGATCGGCCAGCATAAAATACCGACGGGTTCTCCTTTTTCTATTCTTAACTCTGCAGTTAGAGCTTCCTAGAGTGCATCCAAGCCCCCTTCAAAAAGAATATATTTTTTTTCTATAAAATCAATGCCACACAAAGCTATTGTGTCAGAAAAAATGTTACGGTTTTTTGAAAATGGTGTAACAGGACTTCGTCTTTAATTAACATTTCCATCCATCTGGAAAATAATAAAAATTCGATTCTTGAAAGTCCAATGGGGTTATCTTTTCCGTGTTCTTTTGATGCTATTTTTAAAAGAATTCTAATCTCATCTTTATGATTTGCTTCATCATCCATTTACGCTATTTACATGTGTTTGCTTTCTAAGCGTGTTTCGATTATGAGTCACATTGTGCATTTCACTTTGAACCTGGGCAATCAAAGCTTTTTTCTGTTCCATTCAGCCTTATCTAGGTGACAGTTGTGTGCTGTGTGTCTGCTGGAGTGCTTTCGTTTAGAAGGCGTACACTTTTGTTGTAGTGCCTTCATAATATTTTAGATAAAATTTTGTCTTAATTTTATTTCTTAATATTATGCTATGCTCAATATGATTGACATAATCATATGCAGACACGATTATGCCACGCTTGCAGACATCTGAACACATTTACGCTTTACATCATGCATTTTATGTTTTTATTTTTCTTTAAAAAAGCTTCTATGGATGCTAATTATTAGGTTAGCAGATAAGTTTTGCAACATATTTTGTAACTTTTCTCTTTTTGACCGTGACGCATTCATTTTTGGGCATAATGTAGATAGATAGTAGACTACAAACATGGGCAAACCTTTTGATTTTTGGTAGCGAAATGGAGAGATTTTGCTCGTTTTTCGGAGGCTGGTCAAATCCGAAATTTCTGAAGTCGGAAAACCAAAAATAAAGCCCTTTTCAGGCCCAATCGAACAGATCAAGCCGAAACTTTACCCAGATTGCTGATAGAAGAAACTCTAATTATCTACACAATTTCAGCTCGATTTGCTTGATTCAGACTGCAAACGGCTTTATTTTTGGTTTTTCAACCCCAGAATTTTAGGATTTGACCAGCTTCCGATATGAGTAAAATTTCTCCATTTACCAAAAATTGAACCGTTTGTCCATGTTCACAGCTATTATCTAATCTACATTATGCCCAAAATGAATCGTCACGGTCAAAAAGAAAAATGTTACAAAATAAATTGCGAAACTTATGTGCCAACCTACTACAAAATAAAACTTCGGAAAAAAATCAAAATTCGACGCTTTTCCAGACATCTGAACATTTTTACAATTTTTACATCCTCATCTCTTATCTTTTTGCAATCATAACCCTTATGTTTTTTATTTTCTTCAAGCATGTCTTTAGGGATTCATAACAAATGAAATCCAGAAAAAATCTAAAATTCGACATATTTTCCCGTTTTGTTTTCTTCTGTAACCTAAGTTCAAACTGAACACTTTCACCAGCAAACAATTAACTAAAACTGCAGTATTCAGTTAGTCTCTGTTCAACTCCTTTGAATTTATTTCTTCAGTGATCAAGTTTGCAAAACCAGGATATGATGTCGGAATCAGTTAAGGGCCGAGCATACTTCATGCGATTTCAGTCGCGACGCGATTTGGCAATTCGCCAGAAATCTTCAAATCTAACACTATCAAACTGCTCATGCATAGTGTGTATAACTTACGTAAATTGATAAAATGCCTTATGTTCTGTAAATTTGAACGTGCTCGTAGTGAGTTATGGACAGTTGGAATAGTGCCAAATCGCGTCGCGACTGAAATCGCTTGAAGTATACCCGGCCCTTAAGACCTGCTTAGCTTTTTTGAGAAGTGTCGAATCCTTATAGTGGATTTTCAATAACCTTTTCTCGCAGGAAATCTTGATTTTTGAGGTCGGGAAAAGACTTATCTTACAACGAAGGAAAATCTTGAAATTTCAGTGAATTTTTTTACTATCAAGAGAACAGCGTCACCAGCAACATTAGGTAATTTTTTCGATTTGACAACTGCAATTATGATGCCTTGCATGACGATATAAACAAGTAAATATTGAGCTAACTTCAGCTAGACGTCGTTCAGAAATGCGAGACGTCTGGCTGTTTAAAAACATGTAAGAAGCTTACCACCTTTGCTTCTATAATCTTAAACCCTTGGCACTTCTCTTGCAAAAGTTGATAAGGATGACAAGAAATACTAATTATTTAGAGTAATCTAATAGAACCTCTTTTTCTCCTCTTCAAACAAATCCACCTTTCAAAATTCTTCTTCATGCATTATTTGTATATTAGAATCGATGAGACATACTTTCTTTGTCTCTTTTTGACCATTTAGGTAAATTATCCGAATGTCACCGGTGGAACCTATCCGTGTGCCATCTATCCATATTCCATCTCCACTCGGCACACCAGTGACAATTCAACCGGGAGTCTTTCCCGCTCATGGTAAATATCAATTATTTTTCGTGGGAGAAAAACAAACTAAAAATCTTTTACATTGCGAATGACCTTTATGTGTACAGCTCCACGATAATTCTCTGCAATTTCCTAGATGGGGTAAAAAAGTCTTGAGAGCCCGATGTATGATTGTTTTGAAGGTTTCTGTAAAAATGCGCTTCAGACACAACTTAGGATGGTACAACGAATCTACGCAGTCTCTTCGATTGGTATCGATCAAAAGAACTTGAAAAAATAATCGTTTTCGAAAAATCTTATCGTTCCTTGCATATTCACTAAAAAAACGCATCTCGACTGCTTACTATTGATAGCTGTTGCGTGACTGCTGCATTAATTTAGCGTTTTAAAAAAAGAGATGGCATTTGGAAGCGATAGTACACATTGCTTATTATTAGCTGCCGGCCGTCTAATGCAATCTGTTAGACATTTATGAGACTTTTGACCACCAGCAGATAGTGCTATTTTTATGTAAAATGCTCAGTTATGCTAAAAGCTACAAAGCTGCACTGAATTCATGCTTCCCAACGTTTCCGACTACTTTAGAGTGGCGGATGCATATAATTCGAATGGCTTCCACCAAGAAATGTTTATCTCCATTATTATTATTCTTGAAAAAAAGTCCAGCTTTCCTTTTTCAGCGTTAGCCCATAAGCATGCACATCGTTTTGACAAGCTGAGACGTTGTAAATATTCTTTATCCATACATCAGCCTGTGTATTACGGCAATTCCCGATTTTGAATTTTCAAAGCTGTATACTGACAGGAAGCCATTTCCTCAAAAATGGCATTTTAAAATGTTTTTTGCAAATATGGTTTTCCTATGAACATCGCCTTTATCAAGTTGTGAATTACGGCATTGTCTATCATTACTCTGGAAAAAGATATGGTCCAACTTTACCTATGAAGTCTGTTTTAGGCAGCTGGATTTACGGTATAATCCACAAAAAAATTCTTACATTGGCGAATCTCCTATAAACACCCTGCGCATGATTATACTGCCGTCTGAGCATCTCTGCGTTTTTTTTTCTTGTTACGCAAAAGCTGTTTTTTTTTTGCTTATTTATTTATTTTCATATGTTGACCACGTTCGTGTACCCTATAAACGCTATTATCACAAGAAGAAAACAACTGAAACGCTATTTTCTCGCTGAATACTTTTTGCGAGTATAAAAAGCTTTAGGTGAATCATGCAAGAATAAAAAAATCTAAAAGTAGTCTCTTCCGCTGACAAAAAATAAGCATCACAATCCATACTGCCACTTTGATAAGGATCCTTTTTGAATGCAAAGAACGGGGTAAACGAAAAAAATTTGAGTACTATTCAAGAAGATTTACACATTGATGATCTGATATATAGGTTCCGCAAAGTTGATCTTTTCCAAAATCGATCCGCTTCCTTTAAATTTACGTCAAAGTTGAATGTTTGACAAGCGAAAACGGTTATGAATAGACGCTTTTTTATTGTTGTTTATTCAACGGGTATTTTCCCAGCTATTCAATGATGTATTATGAGATGTTTGACACAGCTCTGATAACAATGTGCGTGTCGATTGGGATTAGCGTACCTGCATGTTTGCACAAATTTGGGTACGAAAAAGCAATAATGGATAATTTAGACACGGGTGCACTACGGATATTTGAGGGGGGGGGGAAGGAGTAGGCAAAGGACAAAGTTTTTTCACTAAGTTTTTATAACCTAATGATTTTTAGCGGATATATGGATGTCGTTACCAACGCCCGTTGAAGGTGTGCCTCCAGGCTTGGAATATTTGACAATGGTAGATGAGATAATGATACATCGAGTAAGTTTTGATAATGGAGCAAATATTATTGGCAAAATTTAGGTTGAAACCCTGGAACAGCTTACGGTGCAGCATCGGGAGAAAGCGTTAGAGTCGCTTTATTTATATCTGAACTGTTTCAGATCTCGGGAGTGTTGGACTTGTTCACGGGTTTTCAAACAAAAAACAAATACGCTGTCAGTAATGCAAATGGTGTGCAGGTTAGTTTGGCGAAAGCTTCAAGGAAGTTTCCCTTACATTTGCTAGAAAAAAATTTACGTTATGTTCATTCCTTCCTATGATGACAGACTCAAAATTTTCAAAAACTTCCAGATTTTTTTAGAGTCTAGATAAAGTACAACAAATTCCATCAATCCAATAATTCTATGACGTCATCATTTCAGATGTATTATGTATTCGAGGAGTCTAAAAATTGGCAGAGGCTCGTCTGTGGTCCATACAGAAGCTTTACAATGCATTTTGTAGATGGATTCGGTAGGGTGAGGCATTCTGCTCTATTCTAGAAAATTTTGCTACTTTTGGAAGGAGCACTGAACATCTTATTCTTCAAGGAAGTCCTACGAATTCGACGACCGTTCGCATGCTGTGGTAAAAAATTCTTTTTTTATCTGTATAATAGTTTGAAAAGTATATAGCTTTTAAAGCGTGCTTCGGCCTCTGCGCTTGTCTACCAGGATGCGGACCACTTTGTACCATTGAATGCCCTCCCGGTCACACTGTAAGTGAGTCTGTTGGTAATCAAATTAGCCATTTTATAAGAAACAAGTTGAGCTTTGAGATCGGAACGGTCGAGCAGCGAATGGCATTGTGCTCAAGCTCATTTATCGTCAGAGATCATGAAGATGACGTGATCCTGCGTATCGATGGCCAACTCTGTTGCCTAAATTGCGGGTGTCAGGAAAAAGAATTTCCTGTAAGTCGAAAGTCTGCAAATATTTGTGAATAACTGCCCCGCCTTTGTCTGCATGGCAGTGATGACGCTATCAAGATCACAAAAGCAGTAAAAGTACAAAATATCATAAAAGGTCATCGAAATGATGCAAGAATAACGGTTTGCTAGTGCAATAAGTAATACTAGCTAATTTGTCCGGCCTCGCCTGGGTTAAGGTTTCAGCTGATCCGGCACGGAATCGTTTGCGCAGCCTGGTGCATGAAAGGGTAGAGTAAGTCGTCTTTCTCTCTCTAACGTCTCCGACTTTCTTCTTTCTTTCAACAGGCTGGGAGACGGTCAAAAGGCACGATTTCTACAGGGGTCACCAAATTAACGTCCCAGTGTAGAGCTACGCGCGTCTTTTAATGATGCCAGAGCAAAGTGCTCTGGTTTAATAACTATCTGAAGCTACCACTAGCTAAGTTTGGCTGTCTTTGGTGGAAACTTGATTGAAAAATTCTTGTGAAGGGTATTAGGTGCTTCTTCACGGGTTTTTAACTTCCAAAAATTATTTTTCAAACCTATCAAAATGATAAGGTCGAGTAGCCCACATGACAATCATGAATATCTCCTTAGAAATTTGATTTGCTCTTAGACCATCATAAAATACTAAAAATGAGTTAATTAGTGTCCATCTGCAGTAGAAATTGCGCCTCTTGACATACACCCCAACAGGCTTACTTCCCTCCGAGCGACTCACCCGCTTTAGGTCCATCCTAAATCACTATATCCTCCCCCTTCCTCCGCAAGGCCTTTCCCCTAGCCATTATGCTGCGATGCAAGGGACTCCTGTAATAAAGCGACTCACCCGCTTTAGGTCCATCCTAAATCACTATATCCTTCCTCCCCAAAACAGAATGAAGTCTACTGCTGTTGTTTAACAATTAATTTTTGGCATTAAATGAGTCATGAAAACGACCTGTTAGCGAATGCTAAGAACTTATTTTATGCCAAAAATCAATATGTCGATGGAAAGACCCAGGCGCCGCAACAAGTAGCCCAAACCACCACCGGTATGTGTGCAAAGTTTCAGCTGGATCAGTTCAGTGGCGCTCGTTTCTATAACGAACGAGCAATAAACGAACACACAAAGTTTGAGTTCTGTAAATTATAGAACTCAAACTTTGTGATTAGTAATGAGTGGAGGTGTTCCTCTTGTCATTATGTACTAGCTGGCTTATCCGGCTCCGCCCGGCCCCGTCAAAATATTATGATAAAGCTCTCATCCCTATCCCAGTACAAGCTTTCCGTGCGCACGACTACTGCCAATTCACTATTCCCACTGTTCAAGTAATCAGCATGCTCGATTACCCCCTGTGCCAACCCCCAGCCCCGTAGCTCAAACTTTGCAAAAAAATTGATAAAATCTATAAAACTAATGGATAATTCCAAAAACTAATATTGTATTCGTAATCAGCATGCTCGATTACCCCCTTGTGCGAAATCCCAGCCCCCCAGGTCAAACTTTGCAAAAATTCGATAAGATTGATAAGTGATGGGTGATTTCAAAAACTAATATTGCATTCGTAATCAGTATGCTCGATTACCCCCCCTCCCCCTCCCCCTGTGCAAACTCCCAGCCCCGCAGGTCAAACTTTACAAAAAACGATAAAATCGTTAAAATCGATATCGGTCGATGACAAAAAAGTGATACCCGCCCGGTCCCGAAGTGTATGTGTGAAAATTTGGTCCAGATCGCTTCAGAAATGGAATTTTCTGTTCGGAACATACGTACAGACAGACGTACATGCATACAGACAGACAGACAAACAGACATTCAACTTCATATAGAAAGATGCAGTTGTAGGTGACTGCTAACACGCACTCAATATCGGCTACCTTCGAGGTTTCGGCTATCTACATTTTCTCGGAGCTTGGAAGGACGAAGTCATAGGGTGCCTTCATAACATGCCGGCCACAAATCATGGAAAATTAGAGGCGCAGGCGGATGCGAAGTGAAGAAGCGATGATCTCGCGATTTCATTACAGCAAAAGCGGCCAATGGCGGCTAGCGGCGACGAACGGATGTGTCGGCTGCTTACGACTGCTGGCGGCTGGTGGCTGTGCAGGCGTTGTGTGAAGGTAGCCATAAGTGACTATCCATTTGGGCAGAAGTCTGAACATAGACGCCTCTCAATTCAATCTTATCCCACCGAAGCAGAAAATCTGCTAGGACGCAGCCGTCGCGACGCTGTCATTAGCTATAGCGGTGTGTCTCGCCACGACTTCCTGCTTTGAGAACGAGCCTGAATCAAGAGGCGTTTAAGTTTGGATGAAGCAAGTTTTTTGCTTCAGGAGCAGTATTTACAATCGCAAACGGACTATGATTCACATTAGGAGTACACTCCAGTAATCTGTTGAGATTAAGGTGCTCGAATCTTGGACATTGCCTTCGAGTAGAAACAAAATAAACTTGAGAAGATTAGTCAAAGACACTATTAAAACCAAGAGGCAAATCCTCAAGCTGAACTCAACGTAATGTATCGACAAGCGTTTAAACGGGAATTAAAGAAAACCGGATCTTCCATACTTTTGTTGGAGGCACCGTCCGTCCGGACTCTCCACTTTTATTATCCTTCCAGGGCCTTCTGTCAACGGTGATTGGAGGGCGAGCAGGGATGGGCGGGCATCACTGTAGGTTGCGGTGCCGCGTAGGGGTCCTCGTGCTTCTTCGTTATTTCGGAGCGATCTTCTCGCCCCCAAATCGACATTTTGCGCCGCACTTATTGATTGGTTTACTAGAAGTCCTACATTAGGACTCCTACTATCATATGTTGCCAAAAACTCAAGAACCCTAACCTGGTGGGGGCGGGGCTTTTGATATTTCGATGTGCACGCATGTTTTTGCAAGGAAATGTTTTTCCCAAAGCTTTCCTCTGAAGAACCACGCAGCAGAGGTTGATCGAGTCACATAGTTTTAGCGCCAAGCGTTTTTCGAGCCTACTTACAAGGGAAGTTCGCCGAATCGAAATGGCCGATTGATACGTGGTATACACCCGGACGTGGGGCTCGGGAGGTTAGTATCAAATGTGCGCTCATTATTTGCGACGCGTTATTGTGAAGCAAGTTGTGGCCCTCTGAAGTTTTTGGCGTGTGCATGTCTAGTGAACGCACAAATGCTCCAATTGTGGTCGTGTGGTGTAGTGGTTAGCGTCTCTGACTCACAGGTGACCAATGAGGGTTCGAATCTTGTTGCTGTCCACATGTTTTGCGTTCTTCTCAAAATTTATTTTTTACCTGTTTCATGCATTACTGACGTAAAAAATGCACATAAGGGTGGTTAAAATCTAGTAATTACAGTAAGTTTCGACCCGCTTTAGGCGGAAATTGGACTGGCGGGAGTCCGCCTCGCAACAGCTCGCGCCGTTTCGTAGCTACGGTATATCCTATCGTGCTGAGAACCAATGTCTGCGTCTCTTCAATCTCCTTAGTCCTTGCTCGGCAAAATGCCAGCGCTATGCGCTCGCGAAGCCTCCAGCGATGCGCATGCGCTGCTCCACGTAGAATGTCCCGCCTAATCCGGGATGAAACCGACTGTATACATCCTGCCGTGTTTCTCACAAGGTAGCCCATTAGCAAGAATCAATAGTACGGCGTGATACAACTTGGAGATTGTCACGTAAATACTACGTGCAATCGAAGAAAGTATGTGGGAGTGGGAGACGGTCAAGCGGCGTGATTTCTCTGGCTGTCACCAACTTAAAACTCCGGTTTAGTGCTATGCAAGTCTTCAAAAAATTACCGGATAAAGTGCATTAGCTTACTATCTGTTTGAGGTTACCACTTGCTGAGTTCATGGTTTTTGCTATCTCAGACATTCGCGGTTGTCACCCGCAGGTTAAAACGATGTGATCTCATTGACCAACGGCGCGTCACACGAAATCGGTGTCGGGGCAAAATCAGGTCACCTGTGTTTGCAGCGCGGCGACCTGCGGGACACACCATAATGCCCCGACAGGGCATTCTCCGGTCATTATCGGAGTGACCTGCGGGAGACACCATAATGCCCCGATCCTTGAAGCAGTAGTTCACCCTCGTAGGTACGTATATAGTGGCATATATATTATATTAATATACATAATTCATATGTATATATAAAGTATATATATAAGTATATATATAGTGGAACACACAAGTATAGAGTATATGCTCTATACTTGTGTGTTTTACTTCTACCGTGCTGTCTTCTTTCACTGTCACTAACAAATCAAGCTATAGTATTTATTAACCACTTCATGGTACAGAAAAATCTACATCAGCGCAAAATTAAATAAACTACATCGAGAGAACACTTGACAAAAAACAACTGGAATTGGACTAATGTGTGTCGTTCGCATCCGTTACTGCAATATCGGCGTCCGTTTTTTTGATGATGTTCAAGTCAGTGCTCACGTTAGATGTCCTGGGGCGGTTCTTCTGAAAAACATCAGCATCAGATGCGTAAACTTTTTGGGACGAAAGTTTTACCTTTGACGCCTTTGTCGTATTCTTATGCAGATTGTAGAAGTTCTTTGTCCGGTAGGCCAAAAGCGTCCAATGCAAACCCTGAATAAATTATTCGAATTGATGTACAAAATGACGGAAGCAACCTACTTATTAGTAAATCCACAGTGCATTCCGGGAGATGATTGAGGTTGTCATCTTTTCCTTTTTTGCCAGTTTGCCTACATGCATACTTTTGAATTCCTTTGCCGGTTCACAAGCCCAAATAATTATGTGTAAGGCAAGATTTCCTTCAGCAGTGATCGCTTGCATTGACGAAATAGTGCCTAAGAAAATCAGAAACATGATGAAAATACAGAAAATGATCATGTTTTTGGGCGCAAGCCGATCTCTTCCATTTTTCTAAGACTTCAGTCAAATTCAGCTCCAAAAAATACGATGCCTTTCGTTCATTCACTTCATATTCAAAAGACTCAATCGGGCTGAGTTTTAGAGAGCAGACTTTCCTTTTTCGGTTAGATAGACAACAGCAATTGTGGGACTATGATTGAGCGAGTTAGAAGGCCGAATATCATTTTTTCCGTGTTTGAAAGATGGATTTTGACAACTGCGATTTCTTCTTTTCGGCGTGGATTGCTGCCTCATCATGCCAAAATTCAAACAGCTTCTGATACTCGTTAATTTCGAGAAAATGCGATTTTCGGGCTACAGCGACTGGTTAATAAAAATTTGAGCTAGATCACTTTTACATAAGGAACGAAGTCAGAAAAGACCACAATGGAACAAAAGAATATGGAGAAGACGACTGTCATCGAAACATGTATAAAATAGAGCAAAGAATGGATTTTTGGCAGCCCATCAAACTTCATGTGAGTCATATTTGAACAAGCAGTATTTCGCCTTCTGACTCGCCCATTCTTGACCCCACGAATTCTCTTTCTGGTCTATCTGCGAGAAAATAGGCCCCTCTTCCAAGTACGGGCCACCAGACTTGCCAAAAAGTGACCTAAAAGCGAGAGAAAGACGGACGAAACTCCGCAAAAAACCATTGCATGCGTTGTGGAAATTCCTCTGAAGAGAAAAAATTCTTTTATCAAGGCCGGAAGCCAGAGCCATAGCTGGTCATTTGACCAGCTATGGCTTTGCAGACGGGAATTCAAAGATCTGATGGGGTACCAAACGTGCATTTTACACCCAAATTTAGTTCTTTGTTTCCTGCGTGAACATAAATTTAAGTAAAATTTTTTTTACGCAGCAGCAGTCCATATACGGCTGCAGCGGGTCTTATTTCTGTGAAACTGCGAAAACAAGTTATGGAAAAGCCCATTCTGCAGAAAAAATTTTCTTATAAAAACACATTTTTCGAACTAAGACAATACTTCGGGCGCTAAACTGTTTTTTTTTGCTGGAAAAGTATTGTGTCATAAGGATTTTCTCGTAAAATGACGTTTTCGCAAATATTTGTTCTGTACGTGTCAGCTTGAAGCTAACCACAATAAGTAATGGATAGTATAAGTTACATGTTTTGACAGCTTTTAGCTAGCTAGCGACGCCTCAATGGTTTCTTGAACCCGACACAAGATTACGAAATTTCAAGTTTGTTTAAAGCTTGTAGTTGGCTTGAAACTTAGACTATCAGGCTTGTGGCTAACAATTTGGGTCTAAGGTCAAAAAACTGCACTCCGCAAATTTGCTGAGTTGGAAGGAGTCCTGAAGTAACCTAATGAATTGAGAATAACATGCTTACCTTCGATCTACAACGCGAGCGCAAGATTGTAAGTGAAGTTGCCATTCTGGACGCGCGATCTCATCTGAACTGACAAACCGTCAAAATGTCCTACGGAAATGGCGACCTCACTTTTATTGTAATATGTACTGGTAAAATTGAGGAAAAATAGTAAGCGAAATTGAATCAAAAGGCATCATTAAGTATGCTTAAGATAGAGTGGGTCTGGTATAATGACAAGTTTATGCTATAAAAGGTCACAAATGATCCCAGAGAGCGATTATGAGCGATGTATAAGAAAGAGTGAAAGCAAAAACATCGAAGAAAAAGGCACCAATCAACAGAAGCAAACACCAAGAGAAGACGACTATTTCGCAACATCACTATCATACACGCATGCGGCGTCCATCGGGGCAAAATCGCAGTAAAATCCGGTCAAAACTAAATTCGCGTCTCCCGCCGGTGCACCGGGTTTTGGTGCGATCAGCCATTTTGTGGGCGGTCCACCTGCGGGTGACAACGGCGAATGTCTGAGATATATCGGACTGAAATATTTACGAATTTGTTCTGAAATGCATTTACATGAGTTTTTGACCTTCAAAATTGCTCTTTTGAATTTTTTCTAGAGTATCAAGATTGAACAGCTCATGCAATTATCTAATATATCTTCTTCTAAATTTCATATACCTTTAGAAAATTGCAAAACACTTATTAGGTGCTATTTGGTGTCCAGCTGGCAATAAAAATCGCGCCTATCGAAAATCTTACATATAAAGCATTGGTCGAATTTTCGTGAGAGAAATCATCCCGTAACCCATGTGTGTCATTTTTTACCTCAATAATACATAAAACAGGTAAAAAAATGATTTTTGACAAGAACGCAAAACATGTGGACAGTAACAGGATTCGAACCCTCACCGGTCACCTGTGAGTCCGAGACGCTAACCACTACACCACACGACTACGATGGTAGCCTCTATGCGTTCGCTACACATACATACGCCAAAAAATTTCAGGGGCTGTAACTTGCTTCACAATAACGCGTCGCAGCTAATTGGCGCACATTTGATACTAACCTTCCGAGCCCCGCGTCCGGGTATATACCACGTATCAATCGGCCATTTCGATTCGGCGAACTTCCCTTGTTAGGGCTCAGCACGGGAAAGGTTTGTGAAAACAAAGATCCTCTTTGATTTCGCAACATTTTCACAAAGTCTTCTTTTATCCAAAGCTCTCAATGCTTTCAAGGTGAATGCTAACGGAATCTATGAAAAAACGACCATAGATCAACAGTAGTTTGAAAGACGAAAGACAAGTATCAATTGAAATCCGTAATGAAACATTCTTTTTTGCGGTCGGAGCAAGTATGCGCAATAACTCGAATTTTCTAGAGGTTGTAGCGAAGAAAAGGAAAGAGAAAAGAAAGAAGAGGAATATGCAGCGATTAATCATGGAAAAATTATGAAAAAATATGTGAACGAAGGTTCGGATCCAACTCAGCTATCACTAGTTGAGTAATGCCAGATGTGGCGGGCCTTGAGTCTGATAACTCTCATAACTTCGTTTCTTTCGATTCCAACAGTTTGCACAACTCTACAAGACAACTTGTCTTCTGTACAAAATCTTATTGTCTTGTGGTATATAACGTGGCATTTGCTTTCTATGCAATCAATTCGCGCAAGCATCAGTATTCTTGTCGTGTAAATGTTATATGTGGGCTACTTATTTTAGATAGAAACATTAGAAGGCGAACGTATTGGCTGTATTAAAAGAAAATCGGGTAAAGTGGGAGAGGATGCAAAACCGATGGAAACGTTCCGATTAACCTGTGAGTTGATAATACGATTTATCAATGAATGGCCTTCTGCAGTCAGTCGTGAATTCAATAAGTAATCATTTGACATACTCCAACCATCTCTTTCAATCTAAGCACCTAATCTCTTCTTACGTCTACCTCATCCGCAGAGTTTTTTACATTACAGTTCCTATAAATTTTGACGCGAGACTAAAAGCGATATTGATTGGAGCTGCTTTTCTCATTGTGAGTCCTGCAAGTTAACTTTTTAAACCTAGTATTCGGTTCTTGTACATTTCAGGGACTTTTGGAACTCGAAGCAACTTGCACGAAAAGAAACTAAACGGTTTGGATTGCTCAACAAATACTGAAACCTCCATCTTTCGCTTCACAATCTCGCAATTTGGTTACGTGATAATATCTATTGATCGATCCACTATCTAATCTATTTATCTTCTTCCAGACCGATGACTGTACATATGCTTTTTGAAAGATATTGTTCTCATAATGTTTGGAGTAGAAGCAATTTATGACATTCCATGATTGTTCGCTGACGTTCCAAATATTGATTTTTTTTACTATACCTGTTTTTCGTCAATGTCAGTATCATAGCATTGCTGGCATCTGCGGTCAACACTGCCACATCACATAAATTTGGAACTGTACTTTGCTAGTATTGGGGTGTACGTTGAGAGTATTGAACGGCAAATTAACCTCATATCAATGCGTTTTTATTAGCAATATGTCGATAACTTTAGCATTCTGCATCAAAGTTGCTTATCTCAATGAACTCCGTAAAGGAAAATTGAAACGGTTTTATTTGATTACTACTGATGAGTCACTGCACTGCAGTAAATTAATTGCGTACGATGGCAAAGCGTGAGATAGACATATGAGTCAACTTATTTCATTTAGCTAATAAGTCCCAAATTCTCCCTCTATGAACGGACATTCAGGTGTGATAGTAGGTGTTATATCGTTGGACGTAGAGTACGGTGGCTCAGTGGCGTACCGAGAACGGGTCATGAAATTTTTGAAAGTTACTTACATGGGTTACAAAATTGTGCAAATGACTTGTCTGCACTTGTAAATAATTGAAATAATTTTTAAACTTTTTTAAAGCTCTATTTTAGCCTTATAAAAAATTCTCCAGATTTTACGAGTCGGGGACCCGCAAAAATTTTGAGAAGCACCCCAAAAATTTTTTCGGAGTGCTGGCTAACGCCACGCACCTTCATCGGAAAATTTTTTTTGTTGCCTTCCCCCCCCCCCCGACCCAAAATCCTGGGTACGCCACTGCGGTGGCATTATTCACTGACCTTACGATTCGACACAGTCGTCTTCGGAAATTTAACAAAAAGTAGGATTGTAGTTATTTTTGATGTAGAAGACAAGAGTGACGCCATTCCAAAACATCAGTAATTCTAGACTTTGTCCCCTCACGCCGGTAAAGGAAACTGACGATTTATCGCGTTGTTGATAAGGAAGCCGCACAAAGAACATGCGCGATATTAAGAGCTGCTCAGTGGCTTGATTTATATATATGTATGTGCAGTACATGTATATCAGTGGCGGTCCCAGGATTTCGGATCGAGGGGGGCGCGACAAAAATTTTCTGGTGAAGGTGCGTGGCAGTAGCCACGCACTACGAAAAGTTTTTTGAGGTGCTTCTCAAAATTTTTGCGGGTTCCCAGCCCCTAAAATCTGGAAAAAGGGGGCGTGGCTGACGCCACGCCTCCGAAATTTTTTTTGGTACTTTTCCGTTATCCGGACCCATTTTTTCAAAGAAGCATATTGCTTCATTCCTCGTACCATATTTGGTCCCGACTTTACAGGAAAGAGTGTCAACCTTCTGCCACGTGTTAAAAAAATTTGACATGTCTTTTACATGTTTAACAGGTTTAACCAAGAGTTTGAGTTGCCCTACCTACCTAAGTTCAATCTTTTTATTAGTCAGTAGTGACCCCATTTTCGATTAAACTATCAAAAATGAGCATTGTTATGATAATGACGTCATTCTGTTACTAATTAAGCAGATTAGACTTGTCAAGAGTAGAGAAGTGGATTAGGATCCCATCATCTAAATGACAAAGCAAGCAATAGCAAGGAACTTTAAGCCATCATTTATAGTCTCGTCTGGCTATATTTCCAAGACGAAAAGTTTGAAGAAAAAGACAATACTGAATCGTTGCTGAAAGCGATCAAGATGTTCTGATATAAATTTCAGATTGTTTTGCTCTCAGACAAACCAATTAAACAGCTTTTAGGTGATCACAAATGCTCTTTTACCTCACCGGAAGTGATTTCGAAAAAAAACATGTCAAAATGAACCAAAACGTGTTAATATTTTTCTGACACGTGGCAGAAAGGCAGTCCTCATGGAATCCATAAAAAAATTGTTGGTACTTTTCCGTTATCCGGACCCATTTTTTCAAAGAGGGATATTGCTTCTTCCCTTGTACCATATCTGGTCCCAAGTTCACAGGAAGGATTGTCATCTTTCCTGCCACGTGTCAAATAATTAAACATGTCATTTACATGTTTAACAGGTCTAACCAAGCGTTTGAGATGCCCTACCTAGCGACGTAAGTTCAATCTGTTTTTCAGATTGAACTTACGTCGCTAGGTAGGGCTTCAGTCAATAATGGCCCCATTTTCGATTGAACAGTATCAAAAATGAAGATTATCGTCATAATAACGTCGATATTTTATCAAAGGACAGATTAAACAGAAAAGGGGCTAGGGTCCCATCATCTAAGTGACGAAAAAAGCAGCAGCGAGGAACTTCAAGCCATTATGTATAGTCTTGTCTGGCTAAATTTGCATGGAGAAAAGTTTGAAGAGAAAGACAATGCTGAATCATTGCTGAAAACAATTTAGATGTTCTGATATAAGATATAGATTGTTTTGCTCTTACAGAAAACAATTAAACAGCTTCTAGATGGTCGCAAGTGCTCTTTTATCTCACCAGAAATAATTTCGAAAAAAACATGTCAAAATGAACCAAGACGTGTCAATATTTTCTTGAAACGTGGCAGGGAGGCAGTCCTCTTGAAATCTATGAAAAATTATTCTCAGACTGAAGAACATATTTTGTGAGTATTTTTTGAAAAAATGGGTCCGGATAACGGAAAAGTACCAAATTGTTCTTAGACTGAAGAACGTATTTTATGAGAGCTTTTTGAAAAAATGGGTCCGGATAACGGAAAAGTACCTTTTTTTTTATAAGGCTAATTTGATTTTAAAAAATTTAAAAAATTATTTTAATTATTCACAAAAATAAACGAGTCGTTTGCACATTTTTATAACCCGCATAGGTAAGTTTTTAAAAATTTCGAGACCCATTCTCGAGGGGGGGAGGGCACCGCCCATTCCCCACTGATGTATACAGGGTGTCCCAAAAAAATGTGAACACTGTTTGATCGTTAATAACTCCGTTGCTTTCATGTCTTTCTCCGAGCATGAGGCACCATTCTGTAGGGCGAGGTATAACTTAGATTTACAGTATGGAGCAAATTGTCGACCACTCTTCATTACTGTAGCATTACGGTAGGAACTTCGACAAGGATTTTAGGCCATTGTAGGCCATATTCTGCCCCGAAACGAAACCAAACAACCAACAACCACCAACAACTTTTATACTATGATAATGGAAGAAGCTCATTTCGAATATAAAATTTCCATTTTACTGCGATGCTTTTTCCAAAGTTATCCCATTTAAACCGTGATAACTGAATTTCTAGCATTTGTCAGAAATGTGACTACACCGTCAAAAAAGCTAAAAACACTCGTAAAAAGTTGTCTCATGGAATCAGCGCGCACGAAAACCCTAGTACACGATTTTTCAGATTTTTTGGACAAATTATGTCAAATGGCATATTTCACAATAAATCCACATGCTAGAAGTTCATACCGTAGTCCTACAGTAACGAACACCGATCGCTCCACACTGTAAATCTAAGTTAAACCTCGCTCTACAGAATGGTGCCTCAAGCTCGGCGAAAGACATGAAAGCAACGGAGTTATGATTGGATTTCTAGCGGAAATCGCTTTCAAATTTTGTACCACAATTTCTGCCTCGTATGATGGAATTGTGCAATTTACATCAAATTTGACATAATCATGTGCTTCTATCTTATGCTTTTATCTTATCGAAAACACTAAGTTACGGTAATATGCTAAGTCTGCGCTACTACGTGAATCTCGAGGGAGGCGGTGATAATAAATTCATATTTTCGAAGCCTCCTCGTAACTTTCACAAAAGTGGCTTGTGCTTGATTGCTCTTTCCTAGTCTGAGTTGCTGGAGGCGAGAAATGGGACAAACGAGATATTGGCTTGTTCTTAGCTTTATGCTTCGAAGATTTTGAAAGAGTATTTCTGATGTGGGCAAAGAAGAAGTAGTCATATGTATTGACTGCAAAAAGCAGTAGCTAACTTACATACAGAACGAAGTCGACTGTTTAGAAACGATCATCCCACTTGGGTGGCCTGCAGTGGCAAAACCCGGAACTTCTGTTCGGGGGAGGGGAGGGCGAAAAAAATTCTTTTGATGAAACCGCGTCAGCTACCCACTTCGAGGAATTTATAAAACATTTGAAAATTTCGAGAAGAATTCAACTAAAAATAATTTTAATTGATTGCAAGCACAAACAGGTCAACTCACATTCTAACCATGTAACGTAGTCAATTTCCAGACTTACGCACTTTAAGTGCAACCTATTGAGCTTACTTGCATAAAAGTGCAATTATGAGCAATGACGGCAACAATCGACAAAGGTCACCTCCCACTTACGCACATGCAAACAAAGGATCAAGATCAAGTGCGTGTCATGTAATATCTGCTGCATGACGAAGGCGGTCGCCCAAATAGGTTGAAGGCTGTCGCGCAAGCGTCGCGCGGGCATTTGTCAACCACCGCGCGCACGCACGCTCGGTCAGCGGTCATCCACTGGAGCGTGCGCGCGCCCGACAGCCTTCAACCTATTTGGGCGACCGCCTTCGTCATGCAGCAGATATTACCAAGTTCAAACAACAATGGTTGCAATATTGATTCCAAATTACCAAGTTAGCGAAAATGTGTGGTCCCAGTTGCTATCGTGATTAGAAAAATGCCGCCCTATTTTGCTTTATCCTGCCTAATGCTTCTTAGAATTACGAGTAGTTTTTGAGAAGAACGTTATGAGTTTAGAACCAATATGAAGGTTATTTAAAAACAGAATAATACAATCTATCAGGGAATACGGGAATTCGCTGAAACCTCACTTTTGAGCGCTTTTACTTTATGAAATTATGCTTTTGCCTCTGCAAACATGAAAAAACAGAGGGAGCTACGTCTTGCTGAAAGAAAAGTATCAGTCAATTCATGTGGCAGTATATTTTGCTAAATAGGAATCTGCCAAATTTCTAGGATTCAATGCTAAATTTGACAAAAAACTGCTAAAAATAGTCGGGTCTGTGCGGTTTCGGTGAGCGGTCGCATTTGCTGTCGCTCCCTTTGGTTCCGATTTCGAGGTTGTGCATCCACCGTCTTTTCAACCGGCAAACTCCTTCTACCTCAGAGGTAAGTTCTTCTGGTAACTTTGGTTCATCAGCACATCTTCATCTTCTTCTATCACTATCTACTCCTCCATTCGTACCTCTTTTTTTATTCCTTCGCATTCTATTGACCAAATAGATC